AAAAAAAAAAGGGGGGAAATAAAAGGACTACATCTATGGACTCATGGACTCACACTCAAGATTTTGGTGGGATCTAGATGTTTCTCATATGTTCTGCCACCACCTGCTTTGCAAGCACAAGGTCCAGAGTTCAATCCTCAGTACCAAAAAAAAAAAAAAATGGAGGAAATAAAAACCAAAACCCAAGACTAAGCAGTTTGCCCAGGCCTGCCAGCCAATGTGTGGCTGAGAGGAGATTCAATCTTGGATCTATGATTTTACAGTTGTGCCACGTTTCACTCTGTCACATGCTAGTCATTTTGAATCAGGACCTTAAATGTATATTATAATAATGATAAAAATGTAAAAATGAGGTAAAAGATAAATCTAAAAATGAATACATACTGTCAGTTGGTAATGGCCAGTAATACTTTAATGTTTTTACTAGAGTTTGAAAAAGAATGTCCAAAATCAAAAACAAAGCACCTTATTATGAATGGTGATTTCATAAAAACATGGCTCTACTTCAGCAGGAAGCCAGGCCTCACTTCGCCTACACAGATGAACTCTGGAACTTAACACCTAAGCAGAGAACAGCAATATCCAACACCTCCAACCCACCCTCTACCTTTCAGGCCCATCTTGTTCTTATCCATGGATTCCTTGGCCTCTGGCGGGATCATCCACTTTCCTCCGGGTCCCTGAATGGCAGTAACATTCCGCTCCTCCCACTGGATAGGTGCCTAGAAACCACAGAAGCACTGTGAGCTGACAGCCAGCAGACTGACAGGTGCGCCATCAACTCTGAAGGCCTGGCGTGCAGAGGTCCTCACACCACATCCCACCAGCTCCCCTGCACACCTATGTGCTTCTCAAGGACCCTCAAGGTGCTCCCATTAGAGTACAATAAGAAGCAGACAGAAATGCTTCATAGTACTGGGCATGGATGGATCTTGAAAACATTAGGCTGAGTACAAGAAGCCAATCACATAAGACCATATAAGAATCTATCTGGGGCCAGGCATTTAGCTCAGTGGTTTCACCGCCTGCTGTGCAAGCTCAAGGACCCGAGTTCAATCCCCAGCACTAAAAAAAAAAAAAGACTCTATCTGCACCCCAGAACACACAAACATACATGGGTGATCGAAAGAAATGATGGATTTTTCAATTCAAAAAAAAAAACTTGGGCTGGGGTAGCTCAGTGGTGCTGCTGCCTGCCTTGCAAGCACAAGGTCCCGAGTTCAATTCCCAGTCCCCCCCCAAAAAACTTATTAAAGTAAAGACACATTGCCAAGAATGATGGGATAAGTGTGTCTGAAACGAGAGGGAGCACTTCGAAGGGGATTAATGGCAATGTATCTTTTACTATAGTATTTTAATGTAAATATTCACTGTATTTTTTGATCACCTCTTGATTAACTGTTCACAGCAACTTCTGTCAAAAACATTACAATGCCTGGTGTGGTGGTGCATGCATGTAATCCCAGAACTTGGGAGGCTGAGGCAGGAGGATCACTGAGTTCAAGGCCAGCCTAGAATACATAGCGAGACCTAGTCTTAAAAAAACAAAAACATAAAAAATATTACAGTGTATTCGTCCACCTTATTCACCAGATCTTGCACTCTGTGACTTCTGGCTCTTCCTCAAAGTCAAAATGACCATGAAAGGTAAACATTTTGAATAGATTCAGAATATCTAGGCAGCTGCAACAGCACAACTGAAGACATTCATGAAAAAAGACTTTTAGAACTTCTTCAGAAAGTGGCAAGATGGGCCGGGGATTTAGCCCAGTGGTTTCGCTGCCTGCTGCTCAAGCGCAAGGACCCGAGTTCGATCCCCAGTACCAAAAAAAAAAAAAGAAAAGAAAAAAGAAAGTGGCAAGAACAATGGGATGAGTGTGCTCAAAGCAAGGAGGAGTGTTTTGATAGGGATTCATGGCAATGTGTGTCTTTTACTACAACACATTTTTTAAAAATTTAAACATTCACTATATTTTCGAGTACACCATGCAGAGACAGAAAACAGTGGTTCCCTAGGGCTGAGGAAGATAAAGGGCCGAGAATGGAGTAGGAGAGAAAGGAGGGGGTGAGTGACTGCATCGGGTATGGGGTTTCCTTTTAGATGATGAAAAGGTTCCAAAATTAGGGCTGGGGATGTAGCTCCGTGGTAGAAATTTGCCTAGCGCATGTAAGGTCCTGAATTTGATCCCAGCACCATAAAAAAAAAGTTCCAAAATTAGATTTGTAGATAATTGTACAACTCTGTGAATATACTAAAAATCAAATTGAATTGGAGACTTTGACACAAAGAAACAAACAAAAAGAAGTATTTTTAAATATTGATAGCTTAGCTAGTTAAATAACCCATTCTTGAAAATAACGCCACATCAGTTTGGGTTTTTTAGGTGGTACTGGGAATGAAACAAACCCGGGGCCTTTGCACTGAGCTTCAGTTTTAAAATTTCGAGACAGCATCTCACTTAGTTGCCCAGTCTGGGCTCAAACTTGTGATCCTCCTACCTCAGCCTCCCAGACTGCTGGGATTATGTGTGTCACCATGCCCAGCGCACATCGAAGTTTTTTTAAAAAAGGTTCTTTCCAGGGGCTAGGAGTGTAGATCAGTGGCACAGCATGTGCTTGTCATATGTGAGGCCCTGGGTCAATCCTCAGCACAAACAAGAACAAAAACAAAAACAAAAAAAGAAAGGAAAAAAACAATTCCCTCAAAATGTCCCATATAAATTTTTTAGACATCAATTTTCTCCTCTATTTTGGCAGGAAGGCACAATGACTTCAAATCCCCCCCCCACACAAAAAAAAGAACTTTAAACCCAAGCTGAGTTCAAAGATCCATGAATCCTGTAGTTCTACTTTGATTATTTTATATATCATTGATTTTAAACTACCAAAAATGCCAGTAACAAATAACACTGAAACATTAAAGAGAAGATCTGTGGTGATTAACAACAGACCTCTCAAACTTTATAAACACATGCAATTCACTATCACAGAACATAACTGGCTAAAAACACTTGAATTATTATTAAATGGATTTTTTTTTAATCCCACTTACTTTGGCAGCATCAAAAATTTTCATAACTGCAGCTGAAATTTCAGGGCCAATTCCATCTCCTGGAATTAAAGTTACTGTCTGAACCTGAATATAAGAAATCATTAAAGGAATAAAGTAAGAATTGGTTTTTGAAGGTTTAAAATAGAATATAATTGAAGAGAAATCCACCTCACAGGGTGCCTCAGAAAGACCCCAAACACTGCTAAGAAAACAGACAAACTTCCCCAGGACCAGAAAGCAAAGGCAGAAATCAACAGACAGGAGACTCAACAAATTTATTCTACCTGAGTTCAGAGGTCTTAAAAAGAAGTAAAATAATGCTCTTTAGATATAGCAAAAATAAATTACACTACACCAAGGAGACTTCCCAATTGAGATTTCTTTTCAGACAAGCTATGATGCGACCAACTGATCCAAGTCTATAAAACTAAAGACAATAAAATATTTCAACAGTATTGTTTGCCCTAATTCAGAGGGTTCTTTACAAAGCAAGAGGCTGTCTGTCCTCAGGCCACTTCTTCAGGCTTACGGAGCTCTTTCAGACCCATTTCCAGAGTATCAGAGGTCTGTTTTGAAACACAGAATCTCAGACTACTCTTCAAGAAAAGGCCTCCACTGTCCCGGTTCCTCTGTAAAACTGGTACTTAGTAAGAGTAAAATAAATAGGCTTAGCCAAGTGATTTGTGGCCAATAAAGGTAACATCTGATCAGACCTACAGAGCCTGCACTATATTAGAGAATGCAATAAGTGTATTTATGATAGAACATCAATTATTTGTTTCAATGGCTTCAGACAAAATGAAGCCAGCATTTCAAATATAGAAATAAAAATTTGGAATAACAGGGAGTTTAAATGAGTTAAGATAATATTCAGAGCCTTTCTCTACATTTGAAAACTATACATTTTATTCATTTTATTACTGGGAACATTATTCCATCTGGCCTTTTTTAGTTCCAGTTGTCTGAGCTACATGTTAAAAAGAAAACCACAGGCTGGGGATATAGCTCAGTGGTGCTGGCGCCTGCCTGGCAAGTGCAAGGTCCTGAGCTCGATCCCTGGTACAAAAAAAAAGAAAAATCACAAACTGACTTTAAATAAACACTAAATTAACTTTCCCTGGTCCTTCATCTTCTAATGATACCTCCTGGACAGGCAGATGAATTATTTCTCAATTCTTCTGTATAGCTCAAGAAATTTATGTCTCCTCTTATTTCATCTGAAAGTAATCCTATCAGGCCAATATATATATATATATATATATATATATTTTAATAAGTATCCTGAAAATTAATTAATAATTAAGTAAGTAAGTAACAGCAGAGACCAATGATCAGTTCTCTGAATGTATTTGAAATGCTGGCTTAGCTACTCTCAAGCTCCAAGTGCAAAGCTCATTTTGCATTTTCTGTATAAGCAGAGCCAAAAGAACCCTTTGGCATCTTCTTCCTGTCCTCCCCATGTGTAATAAACAGCATTAGACCATGCAGAAGTCTACTTTTCTCCCACAGTAGAGAAAATAACTAGGAAATAAAATGTACTATGGTTTTATAAATCCCTCATACATAAAGTGTTATAGGTAGTATAGAAATTAGGAAATCCCAATCAGATTCTGTAAAAGGGGAATAAAATAAAAATGAAAAGGAAATCACTGACCCACAGTCTTAGAATGTTCCAATAATGTGGTATCAGCTTTTAAAGCATAGAACTCTAATGCTGGGAATTCTAAAAGCAGCAGATTTGATGGATAATAGATGATCCACTAATGTGATAGTCTGTAATGACTATCTAAGAAAGTATAAGCCTACAGGGCTTAGCAATGTTTGAGAAATTCCTAATTGGCAATCAATCTACTGTTTTTAGGGAAGCTCACAAAATAAAAATGCAAAGCAAGGTTTGAAGCTTCTCAACAATTTTCTCTTGATTTGTATTAGCACAGAAAAAAAGCTTCTTACCAAAATGAGATTGTGAAATAAAGTAATAGGCTCAAGGGTAATATCTATTTTTTTTTTTTTTGAGACTGGGTCTTGCTATTAGCTCAGGATGGCCTTGAACTCACTCTGTAGCCCATGCTGGCCTGGAACTCACAGCCATCCTCCTTCTTCAGCCTTCCAAGTGCTGGGATTACAGGCGTGCACCACCATGCCTGGCTTATCTATCTATTTTTAACAAGGCTCCTTCAAGACAGTAATGTCACAGGCTTCCAGAGCCAGTTGTAATATAATTCTTTCACATGTACAAGTGACTAATAAGTTTGTGTATAAGTTTGCCAATAAATCTAGTATACAGTAAGTATGGCCAATTTTCTCTAGTTTTAAATAAATGGAGAGTAAATGCTATATATTAGAGCATCTTTCTTGAGAAACTTCTAAAAGGAAAAAAATAAAAAATATAATTATACTCACACCACCAGCAAAAGCTCTGGTCACCTGTTTTGGGCTGTGGAATGCCCCCAGCAGCCGAGAGACCTACGTGAACAACAACAAAGAGATGTCAGGCAAAGAATGAAAACACACAGCAACAGTGGAGACGAATGCTGATGGCTGACAATGCTACAAATCTGCCGATATAGTTAGGAATTTTCCGGGAATACTCCACCCATGTGTTAGCTCAGTGGAGTAGCTTGCTTGGATTTAAAAACCTAAATAAGTGTTTTACATTCGAGCCAGGAATTCAAGCACTATACTTTTTTCAAAGTTGATTTTATGCATGTAGGTTGTCAAAAATGTTTCAGACCGAACAAAACTATACTTATTTTTTAGCTCAAACATTAGATTTTATTCTGATGGTTCTTTTCATGTTACATATATGAACAAGGGACACGTATCCCTCCTGTCTTTGACTCCCTTTTTGGAGCCTGATCCTTTTACTCAAATACTGGCCTCTACTGATGAAGATACAAAAACTAGCCACCAAGAAAGTATGAATGAATTGCATTCTGTAATCCTGGGAATCTGCAATCATGTCCTGGTCTGAAAAGTTAGGCCCAAACACAAAAGGATGCTCTGCCAAAACCACCTGCCAAATCTTAACCCTAGGAAGATTCCAGCAGGTGGAGTATTGGAAGGGAGGCCATTTGAAATTACCCTGTGGCAAGCACTAAAACTTTCGTGAGTCCTCCCGTCTCAGTAAAGAGGAAAAAGACATTCACCCAAAACAGGTTCATATCCTTGTGGTAAAAGATCTGACCAAATTAAGATGTAAGCCTGTAATCCCAGCATTTAGGAGGCAGAGGCAGGAGGATCGCTGCAAGTCTGAGGCCAGCCTGGCCCACATAGTGTGACCCTGTCTCAAAAAAAATTAAAAAATTAAGAACCCAAAAAAAAAAAAAATCCCTTAACATAAGATTATTTCAGCATAGGCTGTCTTCTCTCTTATACCTATACATATATATCACATCACTGGATTTCAGTGAAATCTGTGAAGCAGGGTGAGATGGTGCATGACTGTAATCCTAGGTTTCTGGGAGGCTGAGGCAGGAGGATCACAAGTTTGAGCCTAGCCTGCATAAACTAGTGAGGCTCTTTCTCAAAATAAAAAATTTTAAAATGGGCTGGGAGAGTAGCTCAGTATAAAGGCCCTGGGTTCAATTCTCATTACTGGGTTAAAGACTGGGAGGAATGAGAGGGAGATAGGGTTTTCAGATAAGAACACTGGGCCTAGATGGGACCCCTGAACTTCTGACCAGACCCTGGGCTGTCTTAGTCCCTGGCTCCTTGTTCTCTTCTCTTTGTACTCCAACTTCAATACACAATATGGTGTTGGATGGATGGCGGGCAGGAATCACACAGTGAGTGCTGGCTGATGGCAAATTGGCTCATTATAGTAGTTGAGAGCCAAGAAAGTCTTTAGAAACCCTCTATTTTCTCTGTGGGAAAGTTTTTTTAAATTGCGGATGTTTTTTCAAACAAAACCTTAAATGGCAATCCAGTAGAGGAACTGCTCCTCCAAACCCAGCATCCAGCTTGACCTTTCTACTCTAGGTTGGCCTCAGGTCTTTCAGAGGCACCAACCCCTACAGGGAGAAACTGGCCCAGAGGTGAAGGCCAGTGCACTGGGAGACTATGTCCAAGGAGGACCTTATCATTTTTTTCTTTTTGGTAATGGGATTGAACCCAAGGCTTTCACACGGAGTTATACATCCTCAGCCCTTTTTTGTTTTGAGAGAGGGTCTCACTAAGTCGCTAAACTGCCCAAGCTGGGTTCAAACTTGTAATCCTCCTGCCTGAGTGACCCAGAGAGCTGAGTTTCCAAGTATGTGCCACCAAGCCTGACTGACTAAGAATCTCATCTTCATGGGGCTAGGGATTTAGCTCAGTGGTTCTGCTGCCTGCCTCAAAAGCACAAGGTCCAGAGTTTGATCCCCAGGACCAAAATAAAAAGAATCTCATCTTCTGATTCTGCAGTCCAACACTTTCCAAACTCCTTGGAGTTTCTTCTTGCAGTGCACAGTAAAGGCCCAAAAAATTTGCTAGCACACTTATTATCACTAGTGTTGCTTTAGTCCTCAGGATGAATTACCAGTGGGTGTTAGAGTGGAAGCCCAGGGATTAAGGGACGGATTTGTTTTAACAGTAACCCAGAAATTACTTCACCTTTAGAAGCAAATCTGACCTAAGAGTTAGCATCCCAAGCAAATTTGAGTCTGAAGAGACTAGCACAGTCGAATCCAATTACAAAGCAATAAACCCAGCAATCTCTGTCCACTTGATGACTGCCCCCTAAAACTAATCTATTGATGGTCGAAAAAGCTTCCAATTTTTGTGTTCCTTCTGCATGTTCTAGGTGCTTTTACATACACTGTCCCATTTAAACCTCAACTCAAACAAGAATAGATATTTTTCTGATGGACATATAAAGCCGCAGATATGTTCATTTTGCTCAGTGTTACACTGTCAATTAATGGTCTTGACAAGACTTAAACCTAAGAACGCCTAAATTCCAGTGTAGTGATCTTATCAGTAAACCTCTTATCAGTGCACTTCTTTAAACTGGAAAAAAAAAAAAAAGGACAAAAGTAGTAACAAATCTGCTTATAGGAGAGCTCTGGGGGACCAGCCGTTAATAGCAGCAGGGACCTACAACCTGGTGTCCCCCGTGCGGGGCCGGGAACTTGCTATGTGACCTTGGTACTGAGACCCAGGATGCCTGGCTTCCTCCACTGCTCTGACCTCGAGTGACCTTGGGTGAGTCGGTCTCTCGGCCCAGGTTAGCTCCCAGAGAGCAGGGCGTGGTGAAGGGAATCCGGGTGATCTCAAGTCTTTTCCGCTGCACAGCGGAGCTGTCAAGGACACTCGCCCTCCTCATCACCGCAGGGTCCCTACCAAGGGCCAGGGCAGGCTCTGGGGGCCCTCTCGCGCGTCCGCGGTGACCCCGAGGTGCATGATGCCCGGGTCCTCAGAAGGGGAGCCAGCTGCAGACGTCCAGGGCCCCACGAAGGAAGACGGCCTAGCTCCCACCCAGAGGGCTGCAGTGGGTGGCACGGACCGGGGGAGGCTCGGCTGGGTGGGTCACCGGCCGACTCCCGGCTCAGCCCGCTCGGCCCGGCCCCCAGCGCTCCCGCCTCGACCCTGACGCCTTCCTGCCTCGGCCGCGTGGGTCGGAATGAGCTCCCGTACTCTAGGCGCCGCCTCCGGCCGTGCCGTCGGGACGCCTTCCACACCGCGCCCGCGTTGTCCCTGTCCTGTCAGCTGGCGGAGGCTCCGCCAGCACGTGCCAATCACCGTCTAACCCGCGGCCACCCGCCGGCGCCAGCTCACCTTGGAGATCCACGCTGGACCCGCCATCGCGACAGCCGTCTAGCCCGGCGATAGCGGCGACAGCCTAGCGCGTTCGCGCAGCGGCGCCCAGAGCCCGCCCCCGGCGTGGCCACGCCCCCCGAAGTGGCACGCCTCCGCCTCTGGCCTTTCCGCTTTCACTGCCTGCCCTACTTGGGGCACCCTCTGGCCAATCGTCGGATTCTTTTCACGGGACAAGCCTAGCCGGCTGCTCAGCTGCGACCCGGAAGCGGCATGAGAGAAGCCCCGCCCTCTTCGCTCCTGATTGGCGGCTTCGCACTTGCTGGGTGCCAATCAAGCCTCTAGAATTAAAGATGCACTTCCTCTCGCGGAATTTACGAACCCGGGGGCTGAGAGGGACCTTTTATTCCACAAGTACTTGAGGTGTAAGTTATATATAACATTTACAAACTGTAAGTGTACGGCTCGATGCTTTTTATAAATGCAAACAGTTGCGCAATCGTCACACGATGTAGCTTGTTTTCTGGTAACTGAACCTAGGGGCTTCACCTGCACTACATCTCCAGCCTATTTTAAATTTTTTATTGTGACACATGGTCTCACAAACTTGCCCAGGCTTGGCTCCAGTTTGTGTTCCTCTTGCCTCAGCCTCCGAGAGCACTGGGATTACAGGCGAGCGCCACCTCGCCTAGCTGGTCTAGTTATTTATGTGGTACTGGGGATTGAACGCAGGGCCTTCACACTGAGCTACATCCCCAGCACCTTTTTTATATTTTATTTTGAGATAGTGTCTCACTAAATCGCTAGATTGTCCAGGTTGGGCTCGAACTTCAATACGCCTGCCTCAGTTTCCCAGCATGCTGGGATTAGGAACGTGGCGCCCCTACACGCAGCTAAGATCCAGTGTTAGACACTGGGAATGTTCCTGGTGCCCATTTTCAAGCAGTCCCCTTCCTGACCTCGGTCTGAGGCAAGTGCTGATGTGTTTTAACGTCTTTACAGCTTGCAGGTGCCAATTAGACGCCAGGCACTGGGCAGAGTGTTGGAGTTTAAAAGTCCAACAGGAAAAAAAAAAAAAGTCCAATAGGAATGACTCACACCCTGTAATTAAACTATGAAAAGTGTCAAATAAGGATTTTGAAGAGGCAGAACCAGGTGACCCAATTCAAACCTAACATGGAGGCCAGGGAAGGCTTCTGGTAGGAAACAGCTCCTGCATTCACTTCCCCCTTGTCCTGTCCTCATGGGAAGGCCCCTTGCTGGGAGATGGGGAGGCAGGATGATCAGCCCAGATGTCCTACCCCACCCTAGAAAGAGTTCTACCCAGAGAGGAGCTGTCCACCCACCAGAAAGGCAATGAGTACCTTGAAATGACACAAAGGTTCTCCTGAGATAAAATAATTGTTAGAAGGAGGGCTCTTATCAATCTCTTCCCCCAGGACCCTTCGCTGCTCCAGGCCCTGTCAGTTCCACCCTGAAGTGTTCTTCCACAGTCCCCTCCTCTGTCCCCACAGCTCTCCAGGCCTGACCATCTTGTGCCCGGTTATTCCAACAGCCTAATCACCAATGACCCTTTTTCTGTCCTTCCTTTTCTCCTCCTTGCCTTCTCCAGCTGTGTCCAGGGCTTGCACTGCCTCTAAAAGTCCGGGCTCCCTTGCTTTCTCCTGTTACCACTGTGTTTTTCCAGCCTGTTTCCCACCTTTCTGTCCAGTCCCAAACACCTGTAGCACCAGCCAAGTAGGTCTCCTGGCCAGCCCCCAAATGGTTGCCATGTTTCAGCCAAAGCAGTGCTGTAGCCACTGCCTTTGTCTACATGCCCTTCTGCCCCATTTCCACCTGCTCAGATTCCAGCCACTTGTCAAGTCTCAGCTCACATGTTGATTCCTTTGGGAAGTCCCCAAGACCTGGCCACATGTCCCCTCTTTGACTCAGAGCCCCTGGCACTTGTCTCCCATCTTCCCTGAGAACTATATCATATTCTTTCCTGCTGTGATGCCAGGGACCATTCTTACATCTTTGTTTCTGGAACAGAGACGAGTACACCAAGCATACTTGTAATTTCAGCACTTGGGAGGCTGAGGTAGGAGGATCACTGCAAGTGCAAGGCCAGCCTGGGCTACACAGTGAGTTCAGGGCCACCCTGAACTACATAGTGAGACCCTGTCTCAAACAAACAAACAAAAACCTGTAGTAAATAAATAGGAGGCGAAGGACCCAGTCAATTTATAGCCAAAGTCACATAAAGAAATTTAAAACATGTTCAACCTTAACTGTAATCAAATGTGTGCAGATTTTTTAAAAATAGAAAAACCTTTCACCCGCTTTGTTAGGGATCAGTTAAAACTCTAATATTACACACTGTCCAATCTATGAAGAAATCCCTAAACTCTAAGCAACCCCCCCAGGGATTGCTAGATCTTTTTGGAAAATACTTTAGCAGTGCGTCTCAAGAGCTGAGAAGTGTTCCTACTCTTTCCCCTGATAAATCTATTCCTGAGAATTAAATCTCTTGAGAAACCACAGAAAGAAAAAAACCATCAGCACAAAGATATTCATTATAGGATTATCTATAATTTTGAAAATTAAATAAACTTAATGATTAAAAAAAGGAAATAGTTATGTAATTTAGGTTAAATTAATTGAATGGACTACACAGCCCTCAAAAGTGGTCATTACAAAGACTCCTTAGCATCCTTGTAAATGTTTAGTATTTAATGTTTTTAAAAATCAAAATGTAAAATGTTGTCTATGCTTGGCTACACCTTTCTACCTCTGAGAAAGACCCCTCTTGCAGTTTCTTCCCCACCCAATAAAATCTAAGGCCAGTCTTCTAGCTGCTCAGCTGGAAGCCTGAAGGTCAGCTCTATTTTTAAAGTGGAGCCAGAACTGGACACTTCTCCCCACCTCCACTGGTGCTACCGCTACCTGGTCCAAGTCAGTCATCTATTGCCTGAACCAATACAGTACCTGTTACGGTTTGGATCTCAAATTTCCCCTAAAGTTTCATGTGTCCAGAGGTAGGGTTTTTGGAGGTATCTGTACCATGGTGGTGGTGCTTTCTCATCAGTGTGTTGATCCAATAATGATTTTGTGGCTGTTAGTGGGTGGAGACTGGTTGGCAGAGGCAGTCACTGGGGTGTGACCTGGAAGGGTGTATTCTGGACCCAGCTCCACCTTTCTCTCTCTGCTTCCTAAGTGCCATGAGGTGAGCAGCTTTCCGCCATCATGCCCTACCACCATGATGTTTTTGCCTTGGAGCCAGCCAACCATGGACTGAATTCCTGAAGTGTGAGCCAGATGAAACTTCTCTTCCTTTAAATTGCAGGTGTTGTATGTTGTGTCCCAGTGATGGGAAAGCTCACAAATATAGTAGCCTCCAAACTGGTCCCCCTTATTCTAACCTTCCCCTTTTCAAGTCCTCCTGTAAGAGGGATCCTGTTGAGACAGAAAATGAGCTAGGTGTGGTGGTACACACCTGTGATCCCAGCTACTAAGGAGGCTGAGGGAGGAGAATCGAAAGTTTGAGGTCGGCCTAGGTAACTTAGCAAGACAGTATCTCAAGGAGAGGGGGCTGGGGATGTGGTTCAGTGGTAAAGCACTTTCCTGGCATCTGCAAGGTCCTGGATTCAATCCCCAGTACTACACACAGGAGGGAGGGAGGGAGACCCTCTGCTCAAAACTGCCAATGAGATCCCTTCTCTCTCCAAGTAGAAATCAACCTCCAGACAGTGGATTTCATGGCCCCAGATGGCCTGGACCTTGTGCCCACTCTCTGCCTCACCTCCCATTGCTGTCCCAGCCTCTGTGCTGTGCTCTGATCAGGCCACGCTTCCTTTCACCTCAGCACCTGTGCATTGCTGTCCACAGTGCCAGGAAAGCTCTGCATGCAGCCTGCTCCCTCCGCCATTCCTACCTCAACTCTCCAGCAGCCACCAGGCGGGACTCAATCTTACAGTCTTCCTGCCTCAGTCTCCCAAAGCAGTGGAATTACAAATGTGCACCACCACACCAAGCTCACCAATCTACTTTTTGTCTCTGTGGATTTACCCACTCTGGGTATTTCATATAAAGGGAAACATTCACATGTGGTCTTTTGTGACTGGTTCCTGTCATTTACCATGTTCTCAATACCTACACATGATGTAGCATATGTCAGTGCTTAACTCCTCATTTGGCCAAGTTATAGTCCATTTTATGGATGCACCGTATTTTATTCATCCATACAATAGCTGATGGGCATTGGCATTGTTTCTACATTTTTTAATTTATTGAACCCAGGGCCTTCTATATGCTAGTCAAACCCTGTATTACTAAGCTGCTCCCTCAGCCCTGTTTCCACATTTTGACTATTATGAATTCTGAATTCCTTTATTGTTCTTAAAATGAATGCTACTTATGCAGTAAAAATTATGTCTTCCATAAAATCTTTGTACCCTGACTTTCTGGCAGTGTGTGTATTGCCTGAAGGATAAACACACCCATACTCATACACATTTACAGTGTGAAACTAAACCCTTTCCTGGAGGAGTGAAAAGACGCATGAGATAGGTCTTCAATGCAGCCATTTCTCCCATTGTCACAACTCCCTGTTAGTATGCAGGAGGCCGCCATTGGAGCTTGGTGCATGGGAAGGAGCTGGGCCCTGAGGAGACTTGGTCCCAATAGTGCAATGACTTTAGATCAAAGAAACTTGCCTTGAATCTTGGGATTTCCATAAACAGGGTGTATTTGTCAGCTTTCCTATGTCTGGGACAATGCCTAACATCCACAATTTAAAGGAGGAGAAGAGGTTTAATTTAGCTCATGG